ATTTTGACGCCAAGTGATGTCTGAAGAGCGTATGCGGCCTTGCGTGTGTGGTTGTATTTCTATTCCAACAGTTTCTATATGACATTGATTCCCAGCTTAGTTGGTGACATTTTAAATTTAGTTGTCTTTTGGATAGAGCGAGGGTTGAAAGGATATGATAATTTACTATTCGGATTTAGTTAAGGAGATTGGCTTGTGCTTGTAAGTCGTTGTTTCATATCTTTATTTCATGACATCATCCAAGGGTTAAATGATTTAAAAACACACCATCTTGATCCTTGTTATTGTTAATCCGTGTAAAACATGTCTTTATTTTATTTTTTGTTTCGACGTGTCCTTTCATTATGCACAATGAGCTTACTGTCACAAGTTCTAATTAGAAGTGAATTCTTATCTAGAAATTTAGAAGCTGAAGAAAGTCTTTTGTACAGCATTTTTATGCAAAGGACTTGTTAATTTGATGGTAGGATTGGTTGAAGCAACAGCTGAATACTTGAATCAACTCGGTTACGTTCTAAAAGATCTAGTAAAAATGTAATTTTTTGTGTTAGTAATAATTGACTAATATGATCTTGCACTTAATAGGATTTTTTTGTTACTTGAGACAGGTGGAAAGATCAGATTCATATTCAGATTCATATTCAGGTTCATACAGCGACGACGACAGGGACCCAAGACCAGAATCTCCTCCACCAGACCTGGAATCAATGATATTGGACGATAGAATAATTTTCCTTGGCATGCCAGTACGTGTGACTTTCCTTATTGTTATGGGGTATACTCTAGTTGTGTGTTCTATCATGAGAATATAATAAATAACAAGCCATAATATCAAATTTTGAAAAGTCCTAACTCTTAAATTATTATGTGCAAAATATTTAGCAAATTGAATTAGCTTTTTGTGGCTTATTTTTTCATCTAGTTGCCTTGAATGAGGAGTCATGATCACTCGGGCATATCTATTTTTCAATTTCATTCATGAGAAAAAATTTCTTTCCCCAAAGTTGTGATTGGACACAAAAAAAATTCCCAAAAAACAACACTTGACCCGTTCTCATTTTTTCTCTCCTTGATTTCGGCTACACAATTTTTGATAAAAAAATCAATCATTACTACATACCGTTTAATAAAAATAATAATAAAAAAAAAACAGTCATCACTACACAATAGTTAGTGTAATAACCAATAATTACTATTACAATATCTTAAGTAAGTTAGCAACAATGGGATGAACGCAACTTCTAACTATGTATCACAGAAGCTCGGTGATTTACTGTATTTTGGGATGTTCATATTAATCTTGTTCCGTTGGGATTGTGATGGAATCATTAAGGATTTTGAAACTGCTACTAAAGATTGTTATTTTTCCTCTCCGTATTTAAATATGTGAAACAAAATTTGTTAACCCCAAGGATATGGACGCTTTCTTGGTTTCAGTTGGTATCTGCAGTTACTGAGCTTATTGTAGCTCAGTTTTTGTATCTTCAGTATGATTCAGAAGCGCCAATTCAACTTTTCATTAACTCGTCTGGAACTGCTCGTGCTGATGGTGAAGTGGTGAGCCTAGAAGCTTAAGTTTTAATCTTCCCCTCAGACTTATCGCATAACATATGATCTTAGAAATCCTTCATTTTTCTTGTCTTTATATGCGAACCTAAATTCTTACGTGTTTTACTTATAGTTTTTTAACTTCGATGTTTGAAGGCTGAAGTCTACCCTGATTAATTTTGCTTCAAAATGAAGAAGGAGCAAAAGTAATGATTTTCCTGTCTGATATAATGTAGTTGTGTGTAATTTTCAAACAGTTTTTTATATTTCCAGACTTTCAAATATAATTAAACTTTAAGAATATATTAATTTAAGTGAATGAATTCCTTTTTTTTTTTTTCTTTTTAATTTTGTGGCCTAATCTTGTATTTTGTATCTTCCAATCCTCTCTGTTGCTCTACTCTTAATCATGCGTTCGCAGATTCATTGTCGAATTCTGTTTTGTATTGAAGTTCTTTGTTGAGTTTAACTTTCTGGCCGCCTATCTAATTCTTTTAAAAAAAAATCATATTGTAAGGTTGGCTTGGAGCATGAAGGTTTTGCAATATATGATACTATGATGCAAATAAAGAATGAGGTGAGGTTCTCTGTTCTATGCTACTTTTAGTACTCATGCTTGTTCACACATAGTTGTTTAGAATATTGGAGAGGATGATTCCAATTGAATTTGGAAATGCTTATCAATATTGATATCAAGTTTATTTTAATATATTATGAATTGGATTTGGAATTATCTGCTTGGGGTCATTTTTGGTGGTGGTTCACGTCACAGGAGAACCTAATGGTTTAGTTGGGCATCATCGTGAGGCATCTGAAACTGCAGTCTTACTTATCCCATCAAATTTTATTTCAAGACTATAATCAATAAGTCCTTCTAATTTTATGTTCACACACACATATCCTGCATCAAGGCCAAGATATGAGATATCTGTTTTCTTGTACAATTTGTGGGAAAAAACTGCCTTGAGAATCACAAATATCCTATCTTGAATTTACCTAGGATACCACAAACTAGTTATCTATGCCAAAAATAGGTTATAACATACTACAAAGTGAAAGTTGTTCACGTTTCCTGTCAATTTAATTTATTTTATTCCACCATACGGGTGATTTGGCACAAGATATTGAACAAAATGGTTATGACCAAGATATGTAATAACTTTTTAATTCACCCTTATATGGATAACCTATGGTTAGTATAACGTTGTCACAGTCGTGCTTGAAGCAAAGGTGAAACAAGACTAGGCTATGTTTGGTAAAACTAGCTGATAGCTTATAAGTGATTTTCGAGCTTGTAACTTATAGGTTATGACTTATAGTTGAAAAGTTAGCTTATATGATAAAAGTGTTTGGTAAAATTAGCTGATAAGCTAGCTGAAAAAAAAGTTTTGACGAGCTTATTTGGAAAGCTACCCAAAGAAGCTTATGAGATAAGCTCGAGCTTTTTGAAAATGCTCGTCTTACCAAACGAAGCTTATTTGAATACAGAAAGCTTATATAAACTAACCAAATAAGCTATAAGCTATCTTATTTGTCTATCCAACATTGTGGACTTTTATTAATTACACATTGTCTTTTACTACTGTATCATTCCTAAAGGAAGAATGATGCTACGGAAGACCAACTCAAATAGATCCTGGTTCCACATGGTTATTTTGTGCCCAAACTAGTTCTAGTTTGATTCTATTTTTTTCTAATGTCCATTTTTCTATTCTCTTTATTGTGAAACTTGCATGCAGATACAAACATTGAATCTTGCTCTTGCTATGGGCCATTCATGCCTCTTTCTCGCTGCAGGAACCAAAGGCAAAAGGTTCAGTTTGCCGTATTCTAAAGGTTTATTATAGTTCGTTGCTTTTATTTGAGCTTGAAACTCGTAAGCAAGATAGTGTTTTTGTTTTTACTTGTGTGGGTTGAATTAACTTCTCTTTTTCCAGCATGTATTCAGCAACCTCGTGCTCTGCCATCTGGTTTAGCTCCTTCTAGTGATGTTTTGGTTCATGCAAGAGAGGCAAGTTTTGGGCTCCTTTTCTCCCTTTTTTTCTTTTTGGGATATGACAATAATTTGCTTCATGTTATGTTAAGATATGCTTTAGTTATTTTAGTAAGATATTTTTGGTTTGATATGATCTCGATTTGGTAGTAGTTATTTTGGTAATTCTATATATTGGATGTAATCTCACTATTACAATTAATGAAAAATACACATCTTTCTCTTCTCTACTCTATGCATTCTCTCATAATTTTAGCATGGTATCAGAGCCATGGTTTTCACCACGCTGTTCTGATTAATATATTTTTTTTCTTTTCTTCTCTTTTCTTCAATCATGTCTTCTTCTCTCCGGACTGCTCTCCGCTCTGGTTCTTAGAAGATTAAATATAAATGATCAACTCCTTTGTCCTCTGTCCTTTAGTCCTTCAGTCCTTCGGTCCTTTGTATATTAAATACAATTGATCAAGTCTTTTGTCCTCTGTCCTTCAATCCTTCGGTCCTTTGGATATTAAATACAATTCATCAAGTCTTTCGATCCTCTGTTTCTTTGGTCCTCTGTCCTTCAATCCTTCAATACTTCGGTCCTCCTATCACTCCTGATTATGTTTCTACCAAAGCTCAACTAGCAGACATCTTCACCAAAGTATTGAGTGGCCAAGATTTCTCGGAATTTCTAAGCAAGTTGGGCATTCGAAATCTTCATGCACCAACTTGAGGGGGGTGTTAAGATATGCTTTAGTTATTTTAGTAAGATATTTTTGGTTTGATGTTATCTCGATTTGGTAGTAGTTATTTTGGTAATTCTATATATTGGATGTAATCTCACTATTACAATTAATGAAAAATACACATCTTTCTCTTCTCTACTCTATGCATTCTCTCATAATTTTAGCATGTTACAGATTTTTTATTCACATAGGAATTATTGTTTTTTTCAGGTGAAAATAAACACGGACAACTTCATCAGAGTTTTTGCAGGGCACACTGGAAATGTGAGTTGATACACATTAGACTTCCTTTCTATTACTTCTTTGCCATAAATGACACCATCAATATCCTCAACTGGCTTCTCTTTGTGTGTTTTTTATCAGTCGGAAGAGACTGTGGCCAATGCCATTGCCAAAGGGCCATATTATATGGATACAGAAAAAGCTATAGAGTTTGGTGTGATCGATAAGGTGAGTTGTTTTGGATCATATTAAGATATTGCCTCGGCTAACCGGGCCACATACTAATATATATAACCATTTATTTCTTTTTTAAATTCAGTTATATTATGGATCGCCGAAGAAAAAGGCAAAACCTACCCGAAAAACTATTGTCATGGGAAGCGGTGCTACCCGTGCCCTTGCGATTCAGGAGCATATCAGGAAGCAGAATAATCAAGGGGAGGAGGATAATTAACATGAAATGT